CAACCAACAGTTTATGGCTAGGACACAAGCTTGTCCAACACTGAATATTACAGAGTTCCAACAGGAAAACAGGAAAACGAAGAAGAATAGGTCCAAATCAGATCTTCAGGAAATGATCCACCATCTCCAGCGCCCTACTTTCAGTTGGTCTCCCACAGCCTCATCTCCATGTGATCTGGAGGAGTTCCCCACGCCGTTTGTCCAACAGGAGGATGCATCGCTACAGAAGAATTGCTTGTCCATCGTCGCAAAGGACTTTCCATTGGTGTAAATAGCAACTTAGCTTTGCAAGAATGCATTTCACACTTCTCCATTTGCGCCCCTGAAAGCAAAATTTATTTCTTAGCCTCCACAAGCTCCACAAGGTAGCAGTTGTCACCAAATTCAAGACAACTTTTTCTTTATGCATATGCCAAAAGGACATAATTTTTTCAAAACGAGATATTCTGTCCATATTAAAAATTTCTGCAACAAGGTTCCAAACTTGTTGAGCCACCACACAGTCAAACAACATGTGTTGAATAGTTTCAAATTCAGAGCAAAACAAGCAGGAAGGGTCTTCCACTTCCCTCCTTTTCGCAAGATTATCCCTAGTAAGTATCTTATTGTGAATGCATAGCCACAAGAAGATATGAATGTTCTGTGGACATAAGATCTTCCACATTTTAGCACTAACGCCAGGGACTATTCCACCAAAATTGATTTGTTTATAAAAAGATTTAACTGAAAAAATCCCATTGGGTTCTAAGCCCCAAATCAGGGTGTCCACTTCATCGAAAGGAGGATGTTGTTTGATCACACAGACAAGTTGAACCCAACGTTTCATCCAAAGGTGGTCAACACATCTCCTAAATGTTAGCTTCAAATCATTACCATCCCAAACTTGGGCTACAGTACTGTCAGTTTGGTTACAAACACTAAACAAGTCCCAGAATTGTACCTTAAGGGAACAATCCCCCACCCACACATCATGCCAAAAACTAATGAGTTTACCATTCCCGAGCCTCCATCTATAAAAGGTTTTTGCAGCTGCCATTGCCCAAGTAATGCTCTTCCAAAAGGTAGAGCCCCCTCACTTTTAGCCTAGAGGAGATTTGGATAATTAACTCTATATTTATATAGGAGAAGTTTAGACCAATCTGAATCAGGGTTATTAAAGAACCTTTTACGCCAAGAAGCTAACAAGGCCATATTATATTCTTTAATATTGGGTATCCCCAATCCTCCAAATTCCTTCCTCCTAGTAATTAAACCCCAATTAGCCAGGTGGTACTTGTGCTGGTCTCCCAGATTACCCCAAAAGAAATGAGCCATTTGGGAGTTAATGACATTGATTGCCCACTTAGGAAACTTGATCACATACATCAAGTAAGCAGGAATGCTAATCACACAAGCACACAGTAAAATAATTTTCCCTCTATAAGTGAGATATCTTCCCAGCCAGCCAGAAATGCTTTTAATGATTCTATCAATGATAGGCTGGAGATCTTCTCTCTTTAATTTATCATAGTGCAGAGGCACTCCCAAGTACTTTATAGGAAAATATCCTTTTTTACAACAGAAAATTTGAGCAAACTCATTAGCAACTGCATCATCTACATTTATAATCATGAGATCACTTTTGTGGAAGTTGATTTTCATCCCAGACAGGTTTTCGAAACATGACAGAAGCCATTTAAAATTTCTTGCTTTCTGAGCAGAGTTTTCCAAGAAGAGTATGGTGTCGTCTGCATACTGCAGGCTAACCACACCTCCAGGGATCACATGGGGCAGAAGCCCAGAGATTAAATTTTGAGAAGTAGCTTTCTTGATCATTTTGGTAAAAACATCAACAACTAGATTAAACAGCAGGGGGGAGTGTGGATCCCCTTGTTTGAGACCTTTCCCTCCTACAAAGTAGGGACCAATAGTGTCATTAATTCTCACACTGAAAGTTCTATTAATGAGAGTGTTCTTAATCCGAGCAATCCACTTAGGACCAAAACCTCTCAAATGGAGCATATCAAACAAGAATTCCCAACTAACTCTATCATACGCCTTCTCGTAATCTAATTTGAGAACTAAACCTTGTGAACTTGATTTTTTAATTTCATGAATCACTTCATGGGCCATAACCACACTCTCTAAAATGTATCTCCCCTTAATGAACGCAGTTTGATTAGAAGAAATCAGCCTGCGTCCAACGGGGGAGACCCTATTGGTCATGGCTTTAGAGAAAATTTTAATCCCACAGTTGCTCAAACTAATAGGACGAAATTTCTTCATCTCTCTCGCATCAGCCTCTTTAGGAATGAGAACAATTAGGGCAAAATTTAAACGTTGTAAGTCCAGTTTTCCTTCCTCAAAATCTCTAACCAGAGCCATGAAATCGGTCTTAATAACCTCCCAAAAAGTTTGATAAAACAAGAAGGACAACCCATCGGGACCTGGAGCACCATGGGCATAAGACCCAAATATTGCCTCCTTAATCTCCTCTTTGAAAAAGTTTTTTTTGCAAGCAATCGTTCTCTTCTTGAGTAACTAATTCATTTTCCTCCCAAAAGGAAGGACCAAGACAAATATTATGTTTATTTTCAAAACAAAATAGGTTTTGTGATAAGTAGTAGCCACCCCCAGCATTTCCTGAGTGGTATAAACTGGGCCATTTTCTCCAATCAGCTCAGATAAATGGTTTTTTTCTGTGTCTGTGGTTGGCCATCGCATGAAAATACGCATTATTTTTGTCCCCACCAATAATTCGACGATCTCTGGAGCGCTTCCACAAGGCAGTTTCCTCTTTGCTCCAGATCTGAGAGAGTTCTTTTTTGATTTCTTCCATTCTGACTTTATCTCTATCATCAATCTGGTTTCTCTCAGAGAACACGTCAAGAATGTCAAATTCAAGCAAAAGCTCTCTCTTCCTTTTCTTAATATCTTGTTCAATGTTAATACTCCAACCTCTAGCTTTCTTTCTAAATAGTTTACTTTTATTCATCCAAATATCTATAGCTGTTTTCCCAGGAACCAGAGTGTTCCAGGTATCGATCACCATTTTTTTAAAATCAGGATGGTCAAGCCACCATTTCTCAAAGAGAAAAATCCTCGGGGAGGTAACCCTCCAAGCCCCTGTGTCCAAAAGCAACGGCGTATGATTACTCCCTACTCGAGGGAGTGCAGTAACTACTGACAAAGGAAAATGAGCATCCCAGGACAAAGAAGCAAAAACCCTATCTATAGTTGCAAAAATGGGATTGTTTTGATTATTACTCCAAGTATACTTTCTATTTGCAACATTAATCTCCATGAGACACCATTTTGTTAATCCAGTCATTAAAGAGGTAAGAAAACTGATTATTAATAACACCATTGTTCTTGTCAGCCGTGGACCTGACTAAATTAAAATCCCCCCCAAGTAAAACTGGGTAAGTAAGCCCATCCATAATATCATGTAATTCAGCAAAGAATTCAAGCTTACATTCATTATAAGATGTACCATAGACAGCAACAAGATGCCAAATGAAACCATCTGATTTGTTTTTCAGAGTTGCAACAATGCAAAATTTCTTATTAATAAAACCAATTACTTCAAAAAAATCACTTTAGAGACCCACAAGGATCCCACCAGCCGTGTTTATTGCAGAAAGATAATGCCAGTCAAAGGCTATCCTACCAGGAATGCCATTGAGGATATGAGCATAATAATTTCTCTTTTGGTTTCAGAGAAACACAGGAAGTCTACATTGTTATCACAGATGAAGTCTCCCAGGCACTGAATTTTTTCAGGTTGTCCTAAACCGCGAATATTCCAAAAAGCTCCTATCATTTTACTCTAAATGGGTAGGATAAACCACAAGGCTTTTTCTTAGTATTCAATGCAGGGCATTCCTACCATTTCTTAGAATTCAATGTTGAGCATATATTTTGTTAGCAGACAAGGTAATACGAAATGAAGAAGAATATGCCAACTCATTGCAAATGAAGCGCTTGTGCATATCTGAAGAAATTTATGAGAAGAATTGTGTTGTTCAAATGAAGTGAGAGAAATCTTATGGAGACTCAGGCCCCGTTCGGGAATACTCCGCTCCACGCTCCGATCCGGGAGCGGACGGAGCTGTAGTATGAAATCTGGGAGCGAGCAAACTGCCGCTCCGCAGATTCTAGGAGCTAGTGAATTTCCGTACGGGGCTTCATAGTCAAACTTCTGTTTTCTATCTGTCTTTTAAAGGTGTATAGCTGTGTCTGATACTCTGATTTCAAGTTTTTAAATTTATTATTTTTGTACGATTTCATGGGGAGTCCAATGTTAAACTTGCGTATATGATTCTGTCTACTAATGTCTGTAATGCACTTCGCTTCTAGGACATGTTCCCTGTAGTGGAACTTTCAACTTATTTTATTTACACCGCTGGAGCTTGGTTATGGTTCAGGATATCAATATAGTTTTTTTATTTAGCACAATTTTTTTTCATTAGCTTTACCATTATATCAGCGGACAGATTCATAAGCTTGCCGTTAAAGTAGCACAAAAGTATAATTGATTAACGTGTGTTAGCCGACTGAAAGCTATTAGCCTGGTATTATCGGGCGCGGCAAAGTTCCTAAAACCACGATGAGTAATTTAAAACGGAAGGAGTAGTTATTACTATCAATCAAGGAATTCGTCGGGCTGTTTAGTGTCAAAACAAAATGTTGACTAGTCCATTTAATCGGCAAACATACAAGAACAAACGAAACGAACAGTATCCAGCGCCGCGAAGCACAGAATTAGCAGCGCCGCAAAGCACGGAATTAGCAGCTCATTTATAAGTTTGATTATTCAAGTAGTCCTAAATAATCCAATTCATCCCCCCTAGCTCGAATATATTCCCCCTATAATATAATGACAGAGACGATCGAGCTGCCCTGGTAATGGTCCGCACGCATGGCATGTTTGCTATGTTTGTCGACGGTCATGGCGAGCACGAACTGTGCTCTGCAAGGTCAACTCAAGCATCCATATTACATCTTCGATCGCCATATAAATGCAGCCACGATCGACCAGGATCTTCATCCATCCATCCATCCATCCATTCCCTCTTCCTTGCTCGATCAGACCGTGCGCACATTGGTTCATCGAGTCCTCTGCCATGGCTTCCGCCACGTTCTTGATCTTGGTCGCGGCGGCGAGCCTCCTGGCCAGCTTTGCGCAGGCCGATTTGCAGTACGGTTACTACAACACGACGTGCCCGGGCGTGGAGAAGCTTGTGCGCACCGAGCTTGAGGCCATCTTCGCCGCCGACTCCACCCTCCGCGCCGGCCTCCTCCGCCTCCACTTCCACGACTGCTTCGTCCGGGGCTGCGACGCTTCCCTCATGCTCAACTCCCACAACGGCACCGCCGAGAAGCACGCCGACCCCAACCTCACCGTGCGCGGCTACGAGGCCATCGAGGCTATCAAGGAGGTGGTGGAGAAAGCATGCCCCCTCGTCGTCTCCTGCGCCGACATCATGGCCATGGCCGCGCGCGACGCCGTCAATTTTGTACGTACTCCTTGATGTTACTAGTACTCCATTGATTCTGAAATTGCTCTGCTCATCATAAGCTGTCGTGGCGCAGAGCGCTGGGCCACACTACGAGGTGGAGACCGGGCGCCGCGACGGGAACGTCTCCATGTTGGAGGAGGCCCTCACCAACCTGCCACCGGCCGATGGCAACGTCACCGTGCTCACCGAGTACTTCGCCGACAAGAACCTCACCATGAAGGACATGGTCGTCCTCTCCGGTACGAAAGAATCATTCATAACTCGATCGCGCTGTTCTTTGTCTCCGATGACCTGACTGAACATGTCATACAATGCATGGATGCAGCGGCGCACACGATTGGAGTGACGCACTGCTCGTCCTTCTCCAAGCGGCTCTACAACTTCACTGGAGCCGGCGACCAGGACCCCTCGCTGGAGCCGGCGTACGGGAAGACGCTGACGACCAAGTGCCCAGCGGAGAAGATGGCGAGCGTGGTGCCCATGGACGATGTGACGGTGGACAAGTTCGACCTGGGATACTACGAGTCCGTGTACAATCACCGGGCGGTGCTGCGCTCCGATGCCGCGCTGCTGGATGACAGCCTCACCGGCGCCTACGTCGCGCTCATGAACAACGCCTCCTCTCTCGACATCTTCTTCGCCGACTTTGCCGTCGCCATGATCAACATGGGCAGGGCTGGCGTTCTCACCGGCACCCAAGGCGAGATCAGAGAGACCTGCGGCGTCTACGTCGACTGATGATCGATCGTGAATCAAAATTCAATCTGACTATTTGGCCTGACCGGTCGACTGTGATTTGCTACTCGATCGGAATTTATTTCTACACGCAGGGTGCTACCCGCATATGCACCACAAGTTTTTTTGGTTGTAACATTTTCTCGTGAAGTTTTGAAAAGTTCATTGTGTTCGACGAGTTTTTTACTATATATAGTACGAAGATAATGAGAATATATAATTCTAAAAAAAAGAGTTGTCTTAACGATAATGTGCCCAGATGATACGGTATACATACATTTTTAACGCATGGAGCAAGGAGTGCCCTTGATCAAAAGTGAGGCTTAATGGGCTATTGACCGGTCATTTAGCTTGCCCAACCATATTTAACTTTCACTTTGCTTATTATATGTGTGCTTAATTAGTACATGGGCCGATTGATTCCGCATGGCCCATGCATGCAGGTGCAGATGGCAGCCCCGTGGCCGATCAGATGACGAGAAACGACGGCCGGCGAGATGGCACAAGCATGGCCGGCACGTCGGCTGTGACAATCGCGCCCCTCTGACCTCAAGCAGGAGCAATCATCGATGATGATGGCCAGACATGAGGAGGCGTTTGCAGCTGGAGGCATCATCAGCTGGCTAGCACGCCCTCGTCTCTCTCTTGTTCCCAGGGTACGTATTTTGTTTTGTTCCATTGTTTTATCTGGTTTCACGGGAGAGAGGTACGCATCGAGGGAAGACGCGCCGGTGACAGCAGCATCAGGAAGATCATGAAGACATGCCCGCGGCGGTGGCACGCTCGTTGGTGAAGACACGTACCATGGCCATATCCGGCGGCGGCACGCATAGCTCGCGAGCGAATCGTGGCGGCGGCCGCCGCGTGAGGTGAACGCACAGCGAGGGAAGGAGAAAAACACCCAGGACGTGACTGCACGCAGCGGACGCGGCCAAGAGGAGACGCGCCTAGGGTGCAGCGTCGAGGAACTCGAGCGGACGCGCCCCATGCCGGCGGTGGCGCTGGCTACGTCCCGAGCTCAGTGACGGGCCGACGGCGACGGTGTCGACTCGCAAGGCGCGCACTGAGTGGCGCTGCCGCGAGCCGCTCGTAGGGGCGCCGGGCCGGAGGCGTCGTAGATGCAGAGAAGAAGAAAACGTGTTCACGGCGACGATGGCAGCGGGATCGCGTTGCCGATGATCCCGAAGATCCGGCGATGAGTTGCGTCGTTGGTGAGGGGTCATTGCTGTGGCGAAACCGGAGCTTGACCACATACCCCGAGACAGGCCCATGGCGAACAGGTCACCGACGTATAGGACATTGGCGTAGCACCTGCCAAGGCGACGCGCCCTCGACGACGCCACCCTTCGCCGACCCTGTTAAGAGGCGCCTTTGTCTTGCAGACCAACAAATACGACGTCCAGCTGAGGCAAGGCGACACAACCACTGCGATCATCTCTCCACAAGTTCACCAGATGTCGTGGTAATCACACGTCAGATGCCAGGGAGTGGCTTATCGTGGGTGCAACCATGAGGATGTTGTCGGGTCCCGGAAGCGAGAGTGAGCACGAGCTCAATAGCACACGAGACGTACCCAGGTTCGGGGCTCTCCGTAGAGATAACACCCCTAGTCCTGCTATGATGACTATGATCAAGAGTGTACAAGGTTGCTCCTTGAGCTGTGTTGCTAGAGGAGGAAGAAGGGTAGAGCTACCTCTCTTCTCCTAGCTACGATGTGGATGTGTGGAATGAGGGCTGAACCCTTTGCATGGGTGAGCCCTGGGGGGTTTTATAGGCCAACCCCCAGGGGTACAATGGTAATACGACCGGGTGTAGGGCCCGGACGTTAGTGACTAAGGTCGCTGGGTTCTCCATCGGCTGTTGGGGCCCGCCTCTGGAGGGCCCGCCGGCTACCGAGAATCCGGCCGATAGGACGGCGGGCCACGCTGATTGCCTTTCGCTGTAGCTCTGTCCTTGATGGCGGAGGCCGCGTCATGAGTCGTATGGCTACAGTCCCGCGTCAGGCGGGTAGGTGACCGCTTGGTCAGCGCACACCGTAGCCACGCTCCGTCTTGTCGTAGTGGGTGAGTGCAGACTCCGAGGGGAAGGAGGGGCCGACTGCTGGAAGCTGGCCCGCCCCTGAGGCCGCCTTCGAGGGATGCGCCGTCTTCTAGAAGCCCGTGGGCCATGATGATTGCCTTCTGTCATAGCGCGGTCCTTGCTGACGAGGGCCCCGTTGAAGGAAATATGCCATAGAGGCAATAATAAAAGATGTTATTTATATTTCCTTATATCATGATAAATGTTTATTATTCATGCTAGAATTGTATTAACCGGAAACTTGATACATGTGTGAATACATAGACAAAACAGAGTGTCCCTAGTATGCCTCTACTTGACTAGCTCGTTAATCAAAGATGGTTAAGTTTCCTGACCATAGACATGTGTTGTCATTTGATGAACGGGATCACGTCATTAGAGAATGATGTGATGGACAAGACCCATCTGTTAGCTTGGCATAATGATCATTTAGTTTTATTGCTATTATTTTCTTCATGACTTATGCATGTTCCTCAGACTATGAGATTATGCAACTCCCGAATACCGGAGGAACACCTTGTGTGCTATCAAATGTCACAATGTAAATGGGTGATTATAAAGATGCTCTACAGGTGTCTCCGAAGGTATTTATTGGGTTGGCATAGATCGAGATTAGGATTTGTCACTCCGTGTTTCAGAGAGGTATCTCTGGGCCCTCTCCACTACTAGGGAAAACCTTATACACTGAACTTTAGCAGTAGCGCGCGTTAAAAAAGCATGCTGGTGCTAAGTAGCAGTAGCTGTAAATGCATCTAGTGCCACCCCTAGTTGGTTTTGGAGTATTGACGACAAAGTTGGTTGAGGGACTAATGCGTTTGTGAGAATTACAGGATAACGCAGGTAGTATCCCTCATTGATTCGGTTTACCTACCGGAGATGACCCCTAAAAATGTATGAAGACATTGACGATAATGGTGGTATGTGAAGATATTCATATTGAAGACTATGACATGAGAAGACATTGAGTGAAGACTATGGAGCGTGAAGACTGTGTTGTTTCGTTGTTTCCTTTTCTTCTTTGTTGAGTCATAGGAACCACCGTACTGTTAAATGCACAACCCAAGTGAACAAAGTCAGAATGACTGAAGTGATGCTCAACCCAAATCCTATGTCTTCGAGCGAAGACAATGAGAGCAAATCTTATCCAGAGCTGGATGAGTCAGCTTTGCTTGTAGTCCAAGTAAAGTTGCCGTGTGTGTTGAAATCTGACCGTTGGAACACGTGTCAGTTCCTTAGTGACCCAGGGTCATTTCGGACATATCAGGTCGGGTTGCCTTGTGGCTATAAATAGCCCACCCCCTACACCATAAATTGGTGGCTGCTCAGAGTTAGTTCACGGCTTTTGTCGTTTGAGAGCAACCCACCTGGAAGTCTTTGAGAGAGAGAAATCCTTGCGAGGACAAAGCCCAAACACCCAGAGCCAAAGAGTGTTAGGCATCACTGAAGTCTTTCTGTCTGAGTGACCTGAAGACTTATTACACTTGAGGACTGTGTATCCTCCAGCCGGTTAGGCGTCGCGTTCTGAGCATCCAAGAGTCATTGTGGATCGCCGGTGAACGAAGTCTGTGAAGGTTCGGAAGTCTACCTCGAAGACTTACCAGAGTGATTGGGCGAGGACTGTGTGTCCTTAGCTCAAGGGAAATAAGGTGAAGACGCGGTCTTCTGAGTTGAATCTCAGCCTCTCTAACTAGACGTACAGTTATCACAGCAACTGGAACTGGTCCAACAAATCCTGTGTCTTCAACAAGTGACTGGTTCTATCCTGTCCCTCCCTTTACTTTGAGTTTGTCTTCGTGAAGTCATTGCCTATTTGTCGTACCTATTTGACTTTATTGCTTGACTACTATCGTTGGTTGGCTTCATACTATCTTCCATCCTGATCCTTACTACCAAGCTGCTATTAGTCTTTGTACTTTCACATTATTGCATACTTGACTATGGTTTGCTTGTTGTAGTTTATCTTCCGCTGCATATCAATTAGGTCATTTCTATTGTTTGTCTTCGAAACTTCCACGTTTTGAAGACTTTCATAAAAATCGCTTATTCACCTCCCTCTAGTCGATAACTAGCACTTTCAATTGGTATCAGAGCAAGGTACTCCCTTGTTCTATGTGATTCGGTTTAACCACCTGGAGTTTAGCTATGTCGACTGCAGGGATAATCAAAGTCTCCGCTGCTTGCCACGTGTTCGATGGAACTGAATATCCCTACTGGAAGAATAAGATGCGCATGCATCTTGAAGCCATTGATGTCGACCTCTGGTATGTCGTCAAGAACGGCGTTCCCAAAACTGGTGAAGGTGTCACCCCTACTGATGTCAAGAAGTTCATTCAACTGGACTCTACTGCAAAGAACATCATCTGTGGTCATCTGACCAAAGGACAGTATGGCCGTGTGAGTGCTCTGGAAACGTCAAAGCTAGTCTGGGACTGGCTATCCAAGATCAACAAAGGCGTCTCAATCCAGAGAGACCAAAGGATCAGTGTTCTTCGCAACCTCTTCAATCGCTTCAAGAGAAAGGACAATGAAAATGTCCAGCTCATGTTTGATCGCCTCACCGACATCACAAATGAGCTTCAGGCTCTCGGCGCCACTGAGATTACCAAGCATGAAATCGTCAAGATACTACTGAGATCACTTGACAGCTCCTTTGACACCCTTGCCCTCGTGATACAAGAACGCCCTGACTTCAAGACACTCGATCCGTTTGATATACTTGAGAGGCTCAACACACATGAGTTCCAGCTTTCTGAGAAAACAGATATGTATGGTCCCAACTATGGCCGAACTCGTGCTTTGAAGGCAAAAGTTGTTTCCTCATCTGAAGAGAATCTGACTGCGGTTCTGATGATCCTGAAGACATTGGAAAGGAACTTGCTATTCTTGTGAATAAGTTCCAGAAGTTCACCAAGAAGAAGGGCTTC